TTCTTTCAAGATTGTTTTAGCGAAAGATCTGGCGCTGAAAGGGATGTTTTCAGTCTTGCAATGTACTGATACTGTGGACCTGCCTCAGCAATGTTGGATATTGTTGAATGGAGCTACCCGTCGTGGCAGAAGTGTGGCAATTACTGCAATATGTGTTGCCTTGTGTTGTAACGTGACAAGTCGAATTTTGCGGATAACTGAGGTCATGCTGCTTAGGTCTGAATGGAAGCTAGTTTTACAAGTTTTCTCTTGGCATGAATTAACCTGAAAGATGTCGGAGAAGATGCTCAGTATTTCTTCGAGATTATGCAAAATTTTGAAGAAATGTTGAATACCAGGGGAAGTGAGCCTGAAACATTCCCTGACAGAATGTCGGCGAAATGCTGGATAGCAAAGAAACAATCGACAACGTTTATATATATATGATCAGAAGGTCCGGATCCCGGAAGATCGCGTGACAGACCTTGGCATAAAACAGTAGATTCCAGAGATTCTTCAACGAAAATTCCGAGTAGATCCTTGCAGGGAGTCTTTGATCTGAGACTCAGGACTACAATCTTGGGGTACTTTTCTGGGATGTAGCCAACCCAAATGACGGATGCAGGAGGCGTGTACTGTGTTTGGAGCATGCGTGTCGGCTGCTCCTCGTCACCATTTGGTGTCGGTCCGTGTCTGGTGTGCGGCCGTATGGCGGTGTGGTCACTGTGACGGTGTCGGGCCGTGTCTGGTGCGCGGCCGTTTGGCGTTGCGGTCACCGTGACGGTGTCGGGCCGGCGGGCCGCAGGTCTCGTACGACGAGGAGCGGCTGGCCGACGCGTACGAGCTGATCGGCGCCACGTTCGTGGACGAGCTGCGCGACATCCCCACGGCGCTGAGCTACTGGCGCCAGGCGCTGGCCATCCGGCACCGTCACCCGCGCCGGCCCATCGTCAAGCGCCGGCTCGCGCCCAACAAGGTGGGAGGCGTGGGCCATAGGCATGTCCAGATTTATAAAGTGTTGGAGTGGAGGTACGTAATTGGAACGTGGAGCATTGCTGCGGCTGCTAGCTGACCGTCCGCTGTCAGTGGTCACGATCTCTGTGTGCTGCAGTGTCACCCCCATTTTGTCGACCTTGGACTAGCCTCTGGCATAATTTTAAAGATGTTCACTGTACAAAAGTTGAGCCGATTGAATGCGACATTCCGTTCGAGGTCTTCATATTCCAAATAATCCCATTCTTCTTCCATCCTCGGAGACGCCTGTGCGCAAAAAAAAATGTTTATTTTCAATGCATTCGGAGCGGCGGTGGTGTAGTGGTTGGGTGCTCTGGTGGGATGCCCTGGTGCTCCCTGGACCTATCAGTCCTGGGTTCGGGCCCCGACCACAACACCGCCTCATCCCACATGGTGCCTTATGAAGGCATCCCGTTTCGAAATGGGCCTGGGAGTCGGAAAACGTGAGGGTCCTATCATTTTTATTATTTTATTCCTCCAAATTCACATGGGGAACGTGGGCCTGCACTATCAGTTCATAGCAACGTAGTTCTGACATAGGTTTGCAGTTATGTAACTTTGCAACCCTTTCGCAAACCTGAGCATGTCTTTGTCGCCGTATGTATCAATGACTTGCGTAAACTGTCGTGTGGAGTGCAAATCTTTGCATGCAGGTACCGATAAGTGTCCATGGTGCACGTGCATTGGCGAACAGCACGGGATCTCGCACTTTTCGGAAACTACGCCCCCCAAACCCTGGAACCGCCGTGGCCACGCTGTTTTTGCGAAATTTCTGAAACCATTATCATTGTGTAACTGTTTTATGCACCTGGCTCTATCGGTTTCTCCTGAAAACGCAAGGCAGTGCGTTTACATTTAATCGCTGCTTATCGCCATTGCGTTAAATCACTAAATTTCACTGGTGACCTTTCCCATACAAATGCCTCAAATGGCCTAAAACACGTGACATGTACCAGAAAAGTTGACAAAATGTTTGGAAAAGATCCGAAAATTTCAACGACCTATTCCAAGCCGTTCTGGAGAAACTGGCGAAAAACAGCGGGGCGCGAGCGGAGGGGTAAATCCGCCCGCGCGTTTCCGGAATAGGGCAAAAGGAAAATCTGGCAGCCCATCGTGTCGCCAGTTTGCATTCAGTACCGGGCGACTAACATAGAGTGAGAAGGACGTAAGTCCAAGGAATTTGTGCCGGTCACTCTATCTTCCAAGTCACTTCAAAGCCCTATGTCGGAAACTACGGAGCTAGCTTTACAAGAGCGCCCAAAACATCGGGGTTAGCTGCGGGTGCCATTTTCGTCAGATTCATATTGAGCGGGCGCTAAGCGTTCACAAACAAACAAAACAGTGCAGACCCCATCCCTCGCAAAGCCATCTCATGGACGGCCTCGATTTTTAGCTGTCTTTTTTGCACCTTTTCACATGCGCCATCAAACGTGCAAGGCTTTCACTCTCCTCGCTCGACCAGAAGTGATTTTTAAAACCTTGCGTATTTTCGCTAAGTGTGTCACTTTCATTGTGACTGCATTTGTTGTTAACACATATTTTCTATAACAAAGCTCGCGTTCACAAGTGCTTTGGCAGGTGTCGGAGGTGTTCCCCAAGTGCTGTTACGCTGCCAGCGTCAATGCCCGTTTTCTGTGGGGATATTCACGTCTGCTATTACAATGGTCGGGGAGGGTTATATCCTACAATTGACCAAAACGTTGCCAGAGGACGCGCGTAACATTTGAAAGTCATTTGATTCCTCTGCGCCAGTACTATCAAACACGGACGGGTTCACTCTCCTCGATCACCTGCAAGTGATAGTAGACGGTGTCGTATCTTTACTTAAAGACTGTGCATTTGAGTTTTAGCACCGTCACTAAGTGACACAAATTGTCTAAAAATATATCATTTATACGGTGGGTGCCGAATGCGGGTGCGAAGGACAAACTGCCAGTAGAAGTCTTCAAGGGCATAACGTCCGCCCACCTTTCAGTAAGGTGTGTGAGTGTCATCGAACAGCATACCAAAAACCTATCGCAGACGCGCCCGACGTTTGAGGGTCGTATAGAGCTGCGCGTCTGGGAGACCAGGGGTACAAAGTTCGGTTCCCCTCGTTGCCCGCCCTTTCTACTAGAGGCAGGCAACGTCATATTACGTCTGCAGCTTGGTGCGTCGCAAAGCCCCGATGAAAAGTGTTGGTGTGCGACCAGAGGAACGGCACTAAACTGTCGTCTAGTGCAGTGGCAGATTCTGCGTGCTCAGTCTCCGCGCCTTCAACGGAACGGCGTTCTCAGGTGTACCTGTACCAGCAAGAGTTTCAGACACACGAAGATTTGGACGACCTCAGGCCGGACTGGGACGCGGTGAAGATCCAGAGTCTCATCATCACCGAACGGGTGCTGGGCGTCACTCATAAGGTCTGTCAACCTCTCGGCGTCAGGTGCTCGGATCTCTACGTATATATCCTTTTCCAGCTGCAGATATGTGGCCCATGTGCTGTGCGTAACCTGCCCGTCCGTGGTCGCGTGTATCAGAGCCGCTGTCCTCAGACTACCCCACTCCCAGCCATGTGAATCAGGGCTGCTGTCCTCAGACCGTCCCACCCCCGGCCGTGTGTATCAAGAGTGCTGTCCTCAGACCGTCCCACCCCCGGCCGTGTGAATCAGAGCTGCTGTCCTCAGACCGCCCCACTCCGGCCGTGTGTACCAGAGCTGCTGTCCTCAGACCGCCCCACCCCGGCCGTGTGTATCAGAGCTGCTGTCCTCAGACCGTCCCACTCCTGGCCGTGTGTATCAGAGCTGCTGTCCTCAGACCGTCCCACCTCCGGCCGTGTGAATCAGAGCTGCTGTCCTCAGACCGTCCCACCTCCGGCCGTGTGTATCAGAGCTGCTGTCCTCAGACGGCCCCACCCCGGCCGTGTGTATCAGAGCTGCTGTCCTCAGACCGCCCCACTCCCGGCCGTGTGGATCAGAGCTGCTGTCCTCAGACCGTCCCACCTCTGGCCGTGTGAATCAGAGCTGCTGTCCTCATACCGTCCCACGCCTGGCCGCAGGACATGACGTTCCGCCTGATGTACCGCGGCGCCGCCTACGCCGACTCGCTGCTCTTCCAGCGCTGCATCGACCTCTGGCTGTACGCTCTGCAGCTGCGCGTGCGGCGCGACCGCGTGCTCTTCCACGAGTCCTGCTTCACGGCCCAGGTCAGCCGGGGTTCGTGCTCGCACGACTGGTGGGCGACGCGTGTTGTAAGCACACGCCTGGGTGCCCTGGGGCAGGCACCAGTCTGAAGTCGGCTGCGACTGCCTCGACCCTTCCGCCTGGTGGTCACCTTCGCCTGGTGGTGGCCGGAGTGATGGCGGCAGTCCAGCGGACGTGGTCGGAACGTCGGGCCGTATAAGATGATATTGACCATCAATTAACGCGCCCGGCCGCGGGTCAAAGGGCGGCAGGGTTCGCTTTTCCACCTTAAGGTGCAGGCATGAGAGCGTGTGCAGTTGCGTATGCGTTGGCTGGAGATGATCGCCGCTGGTGGGCTGACGAGTGTGTGGCACAGTGCTGGATGTGACGACGAAGCCTTCCGGCCGCTGTGCCGGGTCACAGGCGGCCTGCACCCGATCGTTGGCGCCGATCTGCTGTGCTCTGCGAGCCGCGCCGCACGTGTGGCGTGTGCCTACGGGGCCGGCTGATGACGCGTGGTCGCGGCTACAGGCGCTGGTCCGGCTGCTGCTGGACGTGCTGGAGCGGCGCGGCGCCGGCCTGCCGCTCGACGCCCTGCAGTACAGCGACGTGGCCGATACGCTGGACGTGATCGCGTCCCAGCTGGCCGAGGCCGTACGCCTGGTGCGCGTGCGACCCGTCTACCAGCGCCAGCAGAAGGACTTCGACGTGCTGCTGATGACGCTGGCGCGCCTGGTGTACCTGCTGCTACACGTGCGCACGACGGCGCACCAGGCGCAGGCGTGGCGCCGTCAGCTGTACGGCGTGCTAAAGCTGCACCCGCGCACCTGCGCCGACGGGAACTCGCTGCTGCATCTGGCCGTCTCCAACGCCAGCCAGCCCAAGTCGCAGTTCGACGAGGCGCAGGTGGGTCGGAGTGCTGCGTGGCTGGGCGGACGAGGCGCAGGGTGGGTCGGAGTGGCGCAGTTCGACAAGGCGCAGGCAGGTGGGAGTGTCGCAGTTCGACGAGGCGCAGGTGGGTCGGAGTTCGGCGCGGTTGGGCGGACGAGGCGCAGGTGGGTCGGAGTGCCGTAGTTCGACGAGGCGCAGGTGGGTCGGAGTGCTGCGCGGCTGGGTGGACGAGACGCAGGGTGGGTCGGAGCGCTGCGCGGCCGGGCCGACGCGGGCCGGTCAACCGCGCGCTGCTGTCGACGACTGAAGGTGGCGCTAGTGCCGCGGCGGCCGACCGCTGCTGCTCGTGAGGAGTGACTCCATCACTGCATGTATCTGCTTGGCATGCGCATCTAGTTTGGCAGACCGACAAAGGCCAACAGCCACACGCGTTTCGACATCCGCTGTGTTTCGTGGGTGGGTGCCGTTGTCGTTTTGCGTCTGTCAGCCGGTCACTCCAGTTTCGTTACTGACGTTCGCTCTAGGGCGGTGCAGCGTAACTGACCAGCGATGCGTGGCAGGTGGCGGCTCCGCCACCGCCATCGGTGACAAACCCCGTCCGCCGGCAGCTGGACATCTTTCCCAGCGCCGAGGTGGCGGCTGTGCTGCTCGAGTGTGGCGCCCCGGTGGACGAGCCCAACGACGCGGGCGTCACTCCTCTCCTGATGGCGGCTCGCGGACCCGCCTACCGGCCCAGTGTGAGTGTCTGTACACTGGCCCCGCCTACCGGCCCAGCGTGAGTGTCTGTACACTGGCCCCGCCTACCGGCCCAGTGTGAGTGTCTGTACACTGGCCCCGCCTACCGGCCCAGCGTGAGTGTCTGTACACTGGCCCCGCCTACCGGCCCAGTGTGAGTGTCTGTACACTGGCCCCGCCTACCGGCCCAGTGTGAGTGTCTGTGCACTGGCCCCGCCTACCGGCCCAGTGTGAGTGTCTGTGCACTGGCCCCGCCTACCGGCCCAGTGTGAGTGTCTGTACACTGGCCCCGCCTACCGGCCCAGTGTGAGTGTCTGTGCACTGGCCCCGCCTACCGGCCCAGTGTGAGTGTCTGTACACCGGCCCCGCCTACCGGCCCAGTGTGAGTGTCTGTACACTGGCCCCGCCTACCGGCCAGTGTGAGTGTCTGTACACTGGCCCTGCTACCGGCCCAGTGTGAGTGTCTGTACACTGGCCCCGCCTACCGGCCCAGCGTGAGTGTCTGTACACTGGCCCCGCCTACCGGCCCAGTGTGAGTGTCTGTACACTGGCCCCGCCTACCGGCCCAGTGTGAGTGTCTGTACACTGGCCCCGCCTACCGGCCCAGTGTGAGTGTCTGTACACTGGCCCCGCCTACCGGCCCAGTGTGAGTGTCTGTACACTGGCCCCGCCTACCGGCCCAGTGTGAGTGTCTGTACACTGGCCCCGCCTACCGGCCCAGTGTGAGTGTCTGTACACTGGCCCTGCCTACCGCCCCTGTGTGTACCTGTACACCGGTTCAGTGCGTCTGTACACAGTCTCAGTGTGAGGTCTGTGTGCAGTCGTTGGGAGATATTTGCTCTGATTCAGTGTGAGGTCTGTGAACGGGCTCATTTGTGCATGCTCTTAATGTGAGGTCTCTGCACGAGTTCAGTCTGAGGTCTGTGTGATGTCTGTGTACGGGCTCAGTGTGAGGTGTGTGCACAGGTTTAGCGTGAGATCTGCGCACGGGCTTAGTGCGAGGTGTGTGCAAGGACTCGGAGCGAGTTGTGTGCACGGGATCAGTATGAGGTGTGTGCATGGGCTCAGTGTCTGATGTCTGTGCAGAGGTTCAGTGTGAGGTCTGTGTATAGGCTCAGTGTGAGTTGTGTGCACGGGCTCAGTGTGAGGTCTGTGCACGGGCTCAGTGTGAGGTGTGCACGAGCTCAGTGCGCGGCATGTGCACAGACCCATTGTGTTTGTCTGTACTGTTCGCCGGTCCGATGAGAGTGCCGTATGCAGGCGGCACGCGCTGACCACGGTATGAAAGATCTGTATCGCTCACCCCATCCTCGCGGCGTCGGCGTGGCGCCCTGATCTCCGATGGTCTGTGGTACGACGCCACCCCAATGTCCGGGCCGTCATGTTTGCCGTTTCTACGCGGCGTAGCAGGCCGTGCGCGGCGGCCGGCTTACGGGGCTGACCGGTGCGGCCCGGTGGTGTGCAGGTGGTCTCGCTGCTGCTGGCGGCCGGGGCGCATGTGGACCGGCGGATCGGCTCCGGACACCGGGACGCGGCGCACACCCTGCTCGACGCCGCCGGACACCGCTACTGCCGCGTGCAGCACGCGCCGCTGCGCTGCCTGGCGGCACGTGTCGTCAGCCGACACGTGCCGCGTGCGGCTGTACCTTACGACCTGCGCTCCTGGGTCGACCAGCACTGAGCGTGTCGCTCTGGTCGCTCTGCCTGTCTGTCTGTCAGTCTGTCTGTTTGTCTGTCTGTCTATCTGTCGGGTGCGGTGACCACGCACGATGCACTGATGGATGATGGACAGGAGACGCAGGGGCTGGGACTGGACACCGTTGAGTACATGCTGGATGAGTTCGCAAGATCAAACAATTCTGCGGCTCGAGCCAGTTTGGTGGCGCGAGACAGCGGTGGGGATTTCAGACGCATTAGTGGGTACTTTTTAGAGTAGGCGGCCAGCGCGTCTACTGTTTATTGACGCGGTGACTTCACTGAATGTGTAACTGGAGGGCCCCGCCGATGGTCTGACCAGCGGGCAGTGCCACCGATGGTCTGACAAGCGGGCAGTACCGCCGATGGTGTGACTAGCGGGCAGTACGACCGATGGTCTGACAAGCGGGCAGTGCCACCGATGGTCTGACCAGACGGGGAAGCCCCGTCGGGCTGCTTTCTCGACGGCCAATGATGACCGCCCGACGCCAGATAACAGGGTTGCTTACAGCCACTGGAGCCGAGTGTTCACGCGATAGGGCAGGATTGTCTGCCAGACACCTACAACTGCAGCCGGGCGGTCCCTGGAGCCAGTGTTCACGGGACAGGACAGGCCGTCTGCCCGACGCCGACAGCTGCAGTCACAGACTGCGCGCTGCAGGCGCTCCACTTCACGCGCCCCCCCCCCCCCCCCCGCGCCCCCGTGTGCCTCTGGTGTGACCGTCGACTGCGTGTCGTGCGTTTCCGTCTGCTATGAGGCCAGCGGGCTTCATGTATGGCGCCGACTGCATGTTGTTGGGCTATACTGGGCGGGAAGTGCTGCTTGGTTGAGCTTTACTGGCCTGGAATACGAGTCAGGTGGTTGGGTCAGGAGTCTGCAATGGGGCTAGCGAGGCACGCAACGTTGGCGGGGAATGGGTAGACCCGGGCGCGAGTTGCCGAACTGAAAGCCAGCGTCGAGCAGTGGGTGGATCCGTGGATGAGATCAAAGGTTGAAGGACTGATGTCGGGGTATTACCGTTGCTGGGATATGGAGGACTGGCAGTGGTCGTGATTTGGACGCCGAATAACACCTGTCTTGGGGTATGCTGAGTCGGACTAGTCCGGCTTGCGTGACCCCGCCCCCCCCCCCCCCTCCGTTTCCGAATCCGCTGGGCTGCAGGTACGGTGGTTCTGCCCACTGTCTTGTGATTGATTTTAGATCAACACGTGTAAAGGTGGAGACCCGAAGTGAAATCCGGCGGCCAGCGTAGGCGGTGTTCCTCGTCATCGTCAGTGGAGGGACAGGGCTGGCGGGCGGCGGTCAGCGCGGTCGGTGTTCCTCGTCATCGTCAGCGGAGGGACAGGGCTGGCGGGCGGCGGTCAGCGCGGTCGGTGTTCCTCGCCATCGTTAGTGGAGGGACAGGACTGGTGGGCGGCGGTCAGCGCGGTCGGTGTTCCTCGTCATCGTCAGTGGAGGGACAGGACTGGTGGGCGGCGGTCAGCGCGGTCGGTTGTTCCGTCATCGTCAGTGGAGGGACGGGGCTGGGCGGCGGTCAGCGCGGTCGGTGTTCCTCGTCATCGTCAGTGGAGGGACAGGGGGTGGGCGGCGGCTAGCGAGGTCGTGTTCCTCGCCATCGTTAGTGGAGGGACAGGGCTGGTGGGCGGCGGCTAGCGCGGCCTTGTTCCTCGTCATCGTCAACGGAGGGACAGGGCTGGTGGGCGGCGGCTAGCGCGGTCGGTGTTCCTCCCTCGTCATCGTCAGTGGAGGGACAGGGCTGGTGGGCGGCGGCTAGCGCGGCCGGTGTTCCTCGTCATCGTCAACGGAGGGACAGGGATGGTGGGCGGCGGCTAGCGAGGTCGGTGTTCCTCGCATCGTTAGTGGAGGGACAGGCTGTGGGGGCGGCTAGCGCGGCCGGTGTTCGTCATCGTCAACGGAGGGACAGGGCTGGTGGGCGGCGGCTAGCGCGGCGGTGTTCTCGTCATCATCAGCGGAGGGACAGGGCTGGTGGGCGGCGGCTAGCGCGGCCGGTGTTCCTCGTCATCGTCAACGGAGGGACAGGGCTGGTGGGCGGCGGCTAGCGAGGTCGGTGTTCCTCGCCATCGTTAGTGGAGGGCAGAACTGGGTGGCGCGGCGGTCAGCGCGGTCGGTGTTCCTGCCATCGTTAGTGGAGGGACAGGGCTGGTGGGCGGCGGTCAGCGCGGTCGGTGTTCCTCGTCATCGTCAGTGGAGGGACAGGGCTGGTGGGCGGCGGTCAGCGCGGTCGGTGTTCCTCGTCATCGTCAGTGGAGGGACAGGGCTGGTGGGCGGCGGTCAGCGCGGTCGGTGTTCCTCGTCATCATCAGTGGAGGGACAGGGCTGGTGGGCGGCGGTCAGCGCGGTCGGTGTTCCTCGTCATCAGTCAGGGAGGGACGGGGCTGGTGGGCGGCGGCCAGCGCGGTCGGTGTTCCTCGCCATCGTCAGTGGAGGGACGGGACTGGTGGGCGGCGGTTAGCGCGGTCGGTGTTCCTCGTCATCGTCAGTGGAGGGACGGGGCTGGTGGGCGGCGGCCAGCGCGGTCGGTGTTCCTCGTCATCGTCAGTGGAGGGACGGGGCTGGTGGACGCTCTGGCGACCCGGCAGTGCTTCGGGAAGTCTTAGTGGAGTCGTAGGGCACTTTGGGCTGCCGAACATGACAATATTAGGTTTGAGTCGGTGCCGCATTGGTCTGCCATCTGCGGGTGATTTGTACCGCCGTATCTGTGTTGGCACAGACATCCAATCCACAGCCATCTCGCGCTATCTCAAAATGGGCATGGTGACTGGCTTTGCTAAATGGGCTTTCCGGTTTTGATCGTTCTGTCAAGACCGACAGACCTGTGTCATGTCTTCAGTAGAGGAGCATGTAAAAATGTTAGTCCTATTTTGAAGAGTTGTCTTTCGCCGTTGGTTGGCTTGTGCCGTCTGCTGGCCTGACGTATAAAGCGGCCAAAGCCTGCTTCGGACCGTGTGTTTTTGCCTCGTAATACTTGTTCCGAAGCTCACCAATAAATGACGTACACGCCTCGGCATGTGTGTGGTATAAGAGATGGACTTTTCGCAGAATTGGATCTGCGTCGTGTCTGCATATTGAATGGGTTTTCTGGTACCAATGCTCGGGATCAGAAAATTGTCCCGTCCTGGATAAATCGGACTAGTTATGGCAGTCATTACCCGCGACGGGAAAACACCAAGCCAAAACCATGACAGGTGGACATCTTATATTCGTCCATCGCATACCAATACGCCTGTTGGACGGTTATGTGCAACACTCCCAGTTCCTGCATCACAAACCGCTGTTTCGCTAACTACCGGATCACTGAGCGTGCGCTTGCGCGACCGCCCACGTCCTGCTTCGTTTTCTCGACGAATCTGCCTGCACTGGCTGGATCACTTGGCAACAACACCATGACACCTCTGTTGTTGCTCACGAAATATTGCTTTCAGCGCGGACGTGATCGCCCTGACAGCGTCACATCACGATAGCCCTGGCGGCCCGTCAGCCCGCGCCGCCTACCCGCCGCCAGACCTCGGCTGCCGCCGCTGGACGTCGCCGCCGGCCACGCGCTGTGTCCTGGGCACGGTAACGCGGCGCGCGCGGCCGCCATCGCCGCAGCGCGCTCCGTTCCCGCTGCTGTGGCGCCTACGCGGCGAGAGCCAGCACAGCCAGCGCCGCGGTCAGCAGACCGCAAACGATGCGGCCTCCGCCGGCCGCCAGCACAGGCAGCTCATCGACAATGTGGAGCTGCCACCCCATGTTCGGCCGCGTGTAGCTGTGGTAGAACACGGTGGCCGGCCAAGTGTTGTTGGGCGTCACCTCCAGGACGGCTGGCTCGCCCTCCTTGTCACAGTGCAGCAGCAGCGAGTTACGGAAGCCCTTGAAGTCGCTGAAGTCGTCGTCGAGACGGCGGTCGCCCGTCTCCTGGTGCTTCCACACGCAGAGGCGGCCCGCTGTCGGCAGTACATCGGCGGCCGTCAGACGGCGGCGTGCGCCACCGGACATTATAAAGGCGGCGTCAGAAAACTACGCCAACCGGGGCGTGGTCCAGTTTTAAAACAGATGTTCAAAACCGGTGTGAAGGAGCGGTTCTCAGCGTGGAAAATCCAGCCCACAAGTGATTTGGTTGGTGTGGCTCAGTGAAAAAGTGACGTCAAGCTTTCACGCGTTTTAGCACGCCGGCGGCGTTGCCTCGACCGCGATGTGTGCGGCGCATGTCAAACAAGACAAGAGCGCCGTGAAACATTTGTACTGGTTTCAGATTTTTCAGTGTGGGAGTGAAAAGGCCTCATCCCACTTGTCTGACCTTACGCAACATACAGCCTTGCGTACATCCAGGACAACAACATATTTTTGCAGCAGTGCGGACAATGGGTACAGTCATGCAATGACGCATGCACCACACCAAAGGCTTTCTATTCCACAACTCAAATCTTAAACCAACCAATGGTCCATTAACATGTTCAGGTAACATGATCATGTTAACGTGATAAATAAGCCTCGCTAAATAATGCAGACAGCTCTCCAAAACCCGTGACACGGCGTGCCCTTTAATTAGCCAGTGCGGATCGATTTTGAACATGGTTGGAGTTTGCTGGCTTATTTATCACCAATGGACAGATGATAGAATTTGGCTCTTTCGTTTATCGCGTTCCCTGAAATGACCTTTGTTGTCGGCCTGGCATAGCAGTCGGCGCGCCCTAAAACCCCAATCAACGACGACACTCGGCCTGGTGTATGATCGACCGTCACCAGCAACATCGACTGCATCTGCGCCATGGGCTGACCTGCCGTGGGCTGCGGCTTGCCTCGCCGGGTGAACTCGACGCCGGCCAGCACCCGGATCTCGCGGCGGGCCTCCTCGTCCAGCTGACCGTAGCCGCCCACCGGGTCATCTGCGACGCCACACACACTCGGTCACGTCACGCGCCGCGACATCACACACACTCGGTCACATCACGCGTCGCGACATCACACACACTCGGTCACGTCGCGCGCCGCGACATCACGCACACTCGGTCACATCACGCGCCGCGACATCACACACACTCGGTCACATCACGCGCCGCAACATCACACACACTCGGTCACACCACACATCGCGACATGACACACACTCGGTCACATCACGCGCCGCGACATCACACACACTCGGTCACACCACGCAGTAGAGCATGACGCATGCCCGGTCACACCACACACCGCGACATCAGGTGTACTGTGCGACGCTGCGCCGCTGCAGGACTCAGATACATGTCACGCCGTCACAAACAAGCCCCGCTGCTAAATGGGCGGCATTCATCGTCGAAAAGGGCCTCGGCTTGCCGCTGACCTGTGATGATGAAGGGATGGTAGAACACCGGGTCGGCCGGGTTTCTGCCGCCCTCTACCACGAACTTGTAGGTCTGGCCGCGCTTCAGGTATATATCGGGCACCAGGTACCCGTGCAGGTACCACGCCAGGCTGTTGGAGAGCTGACCTGGAGCACGTGGCCGCGGTCAGTGTGCCGGTGCCCCCTGGCGGTCCGCAGCACCGACTCCCGCACGCATCGCCTTCACGGTATCCGATGCAGACCCGGACAGTCGGGCGCGCATCTGATCATCTAGCCGCTCCGCACCGGCAGAAAAGAAAGATCGTGACGAAACAGACTGTTGCATGCTTTGTCAAATTCTAAGGCGCATTCGCGTCGTGTCGCAGCGCGCTGAAGGCTCGGAGGGCGTCTCGGGGCCTGGTCGCACGCCGCTGGGCGCCGCTGTACTGACCTGTGGTGCCGGTGTAGCCCCGCAGGCCGCCGGATGGCCCCAGGCGGGCTGTGATCTTCCTGAGGTGGATGTCGGAGAAGTGGAACGGCCCCCAAGGATCCCTGAGAAGGTGTGAAATGAACCGACGGTCACAGCTGATTTCACACGGAAATACACTTGCAGGGATCGCAGTCCAGCACCAGGTGGCTCCTAACTGGCCGCTGGCCGTTAGGACGTGCTGCCCGTCACAGCCAGTCACAGAGCGGGTCATGATATCGTTTGGACGCTCAGATAAGGGCACTTGGCTCTGATAAAAATGATTCTGCTGCTTTGTGGTTTGGACCATATTCAGAGATTTTCTTCCTGATTTTCATTACGGCGTCAGGTGGTCGTGGCTTTCCACCCATCTCTACTGAGCAAGCATTCAGTTAATGGTCATGTGGATCCCATGTTGAGGGTAGCTGTTGGCGCGGAACAGCTCGGCCGCCTCAGCGATCCGTGCGTCTCGGGTAGTGGGTGTCAGATGTGAATCGGACCGCCCTGTTACGGTCCGTTCTGCGGCCCGCCGCGACGGGCGCCGCCCAACGGTCAGCTGTGGAGCCACCTGGTGTCGATCGGCGAAACCCATCGCGCCGTCGCGCTGCGGCGCTTTGATGTGGCTCGCTCCTTTTCCCTATGAACCAACCCTTCCATCCTCCTGAAGACAGCCAACGGCTGAACATCAGACTGTTCTCTGCTCGGCTCACCGTCGCCCCGTCTTCTCTGGGTCTGGGTGAGACACTCACCACCTTCACATGCGACCTTACGGTCAGTGTAAACTACAACGCTGATGGTTATACTTGCGCAAGTTCCAAAAAGTGTTGGGGAAATGTTGCTTCTCTGAGCAAAAAACCAAAGCAGCCTCGCATGCTTAGTGTTCACGGGATCACAATGATCCTTGTCAAAGTTAATACGTAAACGTACGATACCCACTCAAGGTACGCCTTGGGTAAAATGCTTAAAACTCTCCTAGCGTTCTCTCGTAATGTACCTGAATGCATCATTATACATTTGGTCTTGTGACTCGATTCATAGCACATATGTAGATACGACTGATCGCAAATGCCATCCTGATATTTTCCGGTTATATTTTCGGCAAAACGGGACATCAACGAACATCCGTCTTTCTTTTACAGTTAAACCAATGTCTGACACTAGCTAATGTATGCTGCAAGACCAATATTCCATAGCTAAAACCATGAGTCCAGGCTTCATGCGTTTCTTTACATAGGGTCTGTACGCCACCCAAGGGTAGTGAAAGCCTACGCCAGCAAAGCGGAGCGGCGTTAGCATGCCCTGCAAGGACACATCCGATGCAGCAGATAACATCAACGACCAGCCTGTATCCTCGTACACCTGCCACGATTTCCAAAGAGATCATTTTGATCAGTGTTACGGTTTGCCAGTCAGGCTGGACGTCTTTGTGATCTTTAAAAGGCCCATATCATGATCAGATGACAGGCATGGGCTCACTACTAGGCGCCGAATCGACCCCGGGCCCGTGATCAGTTAGATACGGTTTGGAATGAGTCGCTTCATTTCACCAAACCCGACTCAGATGCGTGATCACTACGGTCACCCAACACTAAATACGAACTCGGTGCTAACTTCAAGCTTGAATATACATAAGTCAGACTCGCACGCAAAGATTATGAGGGCCAAGTGCCCAGACTCGGATGCGGATTGAAAACCAAATGGATAAACACCAGGCAGAGTGATGATAACGACTTAATTTCGAACTCGGCTCCTTGCTGAATATTTTTAAGTCTGGCTTTGTGACGTGCTGACTACATCCATGCAAATAGCATGCTTTCACGGTTACCGCTGCTTCAAAAATATGCACTTACCGTTTCGGGTGTTGGACCGAGGTAAATGCCTTGCAGTTGACTTCCTCGGGCCTTCGGTTGAAGTTGATCTTAACGTTGTGTTTTGGGTACAGCCTGTGGAAGGTGGGCTTGAGGGCAGAGTCCAGCTTCCCGATGGCCCAAATGATGTAGGTGTCCTCTTTGTCTGACACCACAATGTCGCCTGGATCCTCTGTCGGACATGGGCTTGTAAATGTATTGTCAGGCGCGATGTGCTTTGTCTGCCTTCAGACACGCTTTGAGTTTTGACTGTCAATAGGCAGCCGCCGTTTGCTGAGGAGCATTGGAATGTTCCGTCCCATCTGACACGAATAGTTGACATACCTCACATTGTGTCTCGCCTTCAACCCTCTTAGCTTCTTCTCTAGCACACCCCACCAAACTGCTTTCCATTGACTCGTTGGAAGATAGCTGTCTATAAAAGTGATGCATTTGGGGGGAAAATGATAGACTGGCACATACCCTGAACATGGAGTTGGCTGCACACAGGCGCGTCGGTATATACGCTACCCTGATGTACTTTCACCTCACTCAATTTCACACGTGTGTTTACTATAGGTATATGGTCGTTTACGACGCGGGGTACCATTGTGCTATGAAGCGAGTTTCATTCGGATCAGGAATTTCCGTTTCTGTTTTATCTGGGACAAGACCGCTGCGAAGCAAGATATCGGGTGGCAATTGTAAACAACATTGACCGCCGCTGGTCTCGGGATGCAAACAAGCCGGATGTGCATCAAAAAAAGAGGCCGTTTCAGCCCTACATCCTGTTTTGACTACACCCTTCCGGAGGTTGGTGGCTACCTCGCCCCACCGGCGGATCCACGCGCGCCAGCCCCGCGACTGTCTAATAACTAAGGAGGATAAAACGGTGCAATAAAAAACCCGCGGCTGCGCCTTGCCCTTCAGAAATAGTTCTGGAAATAATGGGGGTCAAACCGACATCTCCCACATCCGAACGCGTGTTAAGACATTTCAGCCAATGCCCACGGCGCAAGCAGAGGGGGGGGGGGGGGGGCCCACAGGAGAAACGTGCCCTCCCCACATTTCATACGTTATAGCGGTCATTACTCAAACCCATAGGTTAAGTCTCACCAAAATTCTGAAGGGAACGAATACATGGGACCACTGGGCTTCGCGAGAGCAGACCGCAGGTGCCCGCTCAGTGTTGTCGATATATGATTGCTGCTGCAAATGTCGCGATCGACAGACCCGCCGCAGCAACAGCTCCGCCGACATTTTTCGACTAAATGAAGCGTGTGGTGCGCTGTTGTAGTGTAGCAAAACCAGCTTAGGGAATAAACAGGGACAAAAACGACAACTTGCTGCAAAACACATGGAATACGGTATTTTCTCCGAATGTGACAAACATTCCTATCACGGATGAGGCATTGATGGCTCCCCGACGGAATACGAAACCGCACACATGGCTTGATGTTCACTGAAACGCGACATCACTTTTACAACAATGACTCATGTAAGGCGCTGTAGCGCTAATGTCGCGTATAAGTATTTGCAGTAAAAGTAACGTCGTGTATTAGTGGTGCCTGTATGCATTGTTGCAAAAGAAGTAATGGCGAGTATAAGCTTTTCATCGGCATTTCAATTTGAAGCAAACTAATGAACTGTCAGTTGTAAACAAAGGTAACGAACGATCCTCACATCATCGGTGAGAAAGCTTTTTCCTCACCGTCGATGACCTTGTGATCCCTTACTGCAATGGATCGAAATGAAGAACTTGGTAGCTATACATGCATTATCATGTATTCCAGAAAGATCAAACTGCAAGAAAATCTGGGCTTTTCTGGCTTGCTGGTCGGACTCACTTGTATCAAAGTCCCGTCTGAATTGGAAGGAGGTGATGCCGTCCTCTCTGGACCGAGACGTGAACTGGAAGTTGCTTATGCCTCCCACCTTTTCATCTGGACACACTCCCTGCAGCTTGTCCAGCACCTTGAGGCACTGAAAATGTCGGAAATAAAATGCATTAGTCACTATCAGCAGCGAAACACGGTATCAGGAAGACGTGCTGTTCGGCGGAGAATGAGCGGTAGCCATTAACATCAGCGTTATTACGTATCATAGTGCACAAACTTAAAGGAATATGGCAGTGCCTTCGCCGGGCTTAACGGTAGCTTTTGAATCCATGACAATGAATAAATGATTGGTCCTGACCGCAGCAGTCAGTGGTGCTGCGCAGGCGTGCTGTGAACTACCGCTTGAAAGGAAAGGAAGGCAGCATTTGTTGTGGCCAATATGCTTCAGCATAGGAAATGGACAGATTTGTAATGCATATATTACACATTATTTACCACAATATAACATTTCCATCTTGGATGCCTGTATTGCTGAAAACATTGATTTGGCAAAGTATCAACAAAATCGTAAAGTTTTGCGTGGACCTTCAAGGGAGTATGTCACATTTGAACATCCGTCACATATTGTCATATCACACGCGTACGATTTGATCGGTAATGACAACTTTCTCGATGTCCTTCCGAAAGGCTTAAAATCTTTATTTGATTTAGCTACTCCCGCGAGAGATATCTCTTTGGACTCCCTGTACGCCACCATGAAAACAATATATTTAATTTTCATTGTTTTTTTTCCAGCGCATGCGTTCTAGGAAGTTTGCAACGCACTAAGTTGTCAACATGCTTCAGTAATAAATGCTCCCGAAGCTTGAAACACTGTTAAGAAAACAAACTTGCAAACACGAGCTTATTATCGAGCGAATTCAACGAAACTGTACTTTTGCTTTGCTTTCTCCCCTATGGTTTTTACAACGGTGGCTCTTTTTAAAGCGCACTTTCGTTTTGGGTAGCGGTGTATCACATGGTCCGAAGTAACACACTGGTTCAAACTCCAACCAATGCGCTTCTCCGTAACTGGTCCTTGCCGCAGGCTGTGCCAATTACAAACGTTGATTTTTACTGACGTCGTTCATACAAGTAGACGTGCCACTTTTTAAGGCGCAGGCTCGCAATGTGCGCTTAAAAACAGGTCAAAAATGGTCAATAACAACGGGCCTCAGGAGATTCTGCCGTCGTGACAACGGCGGTTGCGACAGGTGCACTTGTCGCGGACTCGGGATACACTCCGGGGCTTCTAAGATAAAAGTGTAGTGCCGTTCCAAAGCGTTGTCAGCGTAATTTAAACTCCAAAATAACTAAAATTTATATCCTAACTGTACCTTGATGGTGCTGCAGGGGCTACCCGGTCTACTCGTAGACGTAAATGGTTCTAACGTTTCATCACAGTAGGTTTTTGAAACATACCCCAAAGGGGTGACATTTCTTTTAACCCCGTCTACACAGGGAACTGGCAAATTGTAGGATCGTCACCAGAACGTGTCCATCAGTTTCCGGCTACATCTGTTGACAAGCAGTGTCTGAAACTTGGGTGTTTCTTTGTGTTTTTAGACCCAAGGCATTTTGCTCTCCACAAATTTGCACTGGAAAGAATATAAGCATTCTTCTCTGTGATCGACGTCAGATAAAGGCAAGCTGTTCCTGAAACTTCGACAGCATCGCGTGCCACACTCAAGACTAAACGAGGGATACTGTTTGCGGGCTACAGCCGAATCTATCTATCATATCACTCACAATCTTTTCCTGTAATGCACTCAGTGCCCAGGTCCGTTGCTGCTCACCAGCAGACGTTTAAGCCCCCCCCCCCCCCCCTACCGTCCAACAACGACACTGGCGCGCTCGTGTAAATCACTAACACGGTAGAAATTGATACGAAAGTGTGTGATGCCAAACAAACATGTACCTCCTAATATAGGATTAATTTATCCTGTGTTGATTATAAGTTACTTTTAACTAATTTTTCATGGTACCCTTATTCAAACTGGATTTGAAACTATCAGAAACATATATTGTATAAAAGGTACAATGCTGAGGTCAAATACCATCCCCAAACATTCGCCTGGGCACGCGGAAATCCACGGCTCCGCGAGTCTCCGGCTCTTGGGGAGGATTTAGCCTGGGGGGAAGGCATATTCTCCACCAAGAAATCCGAGCTGAATACGTGATGAAAATGCGTAAAAGGGGCATTAAGCGAAAGCATGGATTTTTTCTCCTGAAAGCATGAAATTATGATCTGAGTATAAAGCTAAAGCAGCGTTTCTTGTTTTCCTTTGAGCAGAACTTCTAGTCTTTATTTACATAATTATTTACGTTTCTGAGATCTATCTTTTATTTGAACCGGCTTCTACCGATAAATGCATTTTTTACAAAATCATTGCAGTCCTAAATGGCAATATCAAAACCGATACATAACTTACAGCGGCTCTGTCGTTCAAGGATGCAATTGCGTGCGCGCCATTTATGTAGCCCACTGACCTTTTTTGGAGGAGACGCGCGCGGAGTGTTGGTAGCGCGACTGGTTGGTAGTGTAGATAATGGCCATATATAAATTCAGCTCAGTGTCATAAACTGAGAAAAGTATTGTGTCAGACTCAACGCCGTTGAGCAGATGAAGCGATGCTAACCTTATGCGGCTGGATTGCTCTGTGAGGAGGAAATGATTCCTCCGCCACTGCCGCATTGGTCTCCGAGCCCTTGTCACGCAGCAGCCTGACGTTCCAGGCGATATAGTTTTGTACACAACTTTGCGGAGCGGGTGAGCAGAAAAATCTGTGATCCTAAATAAATGGTACAAACCATTTCTCCCTGATTTTGACCAAGTTTTTTTCTCAAAGTTGGGGAGGGGCTAGGAACTAAGGGGCTAGGGGCTAGCATCCTATGCAACTAAATGGAGAACTACACACCTAGTCCCAAATAAGTACACGTAGGTCAATAAAAGCCTAGGCGGGTATCACATTGCCCCAGAATGTTACTCTGGCGCGAGGAAGATTGTACCTTGGCTAGGACATAGCTGTACCAACTACCATGCCCCAGATACTTCTATTTATATTGTGGCTTGCATGACATTGCAACCATAAACTTGCTATAATATGCTGTGGGGAATGGCGCACCAGGTGCACAACATTTTAAGCATTGGTTTCTATCAGCCCTAATTGGGACTGACACCTTCACAATCAAATTATCAATATCAACAACTTTCTATCAGATCCATAGCTTCAAAAAATGCAGTAGATGTGAGCATAGGCTTAAGAAGAAAGCACGTACTTAGGAAGCTAAAAAATTACGAACTGCAAGCAGCCAATCTCTAATGGTCTTTGGCAATCACTGAGACTAGCTAAAGCATGGTGTTTACTGTCATCTGCTGCCAAAGAATTCATTTAGTGCCAGCTGTGAATGCAGTGCAAATTCACTTGTTTTTTTTTGTTCTCACTGCAATCTGTGATTTGGAATTTTTCGCTCCCCCAAGAGCCAAAGCTAACTTTCAGATACGGTTGACAAGTGTGGCTCTCCTGCGTCGAAACAAGGGAAACGACGCCTGCCTAACAAGGTGTGCTGAATCCAAAAACAGAGCTTCTGTATCTAGGAAGAGTCCACAATTTAATGACAAAATAAACTATGACCGGATCATCTCATTGTGGAGGAACTCCTGAACACGCCGCTAGGCTTTACAGCAGACGCGCCCCACCTGGGGGTACTCACATCATAAAAGCGTTTTACTTCACAGCGCCACGGACGGAGACAAACCACGAGCATGTGCCATTTTCGGCGTTCATGGTTTGTTTGGCCACCAGAAATAATTCTTTGGAATAAGAATCTTCTACGCTGTATTTTCTACTAGGCTATAACCCTGTACAAATACGTCGAGCCCGACGCGTGTCTGTTGCCCACTGTCCTGGACCAACTAAAACGTTGTCGACGGGCTGACCTTCACCGCTCACCTTGGCTGCTCCGCCTCCGGCGATACTCACGGCAGTGGAATGCACGACCGACCCAGCTAAGAAGTCGACTTTGAAACGACGACTTAACGCTGGAATGCTTAAGCCACCTCGCGCGGCATTCACCGTCACCACACAGCGGGCATATTTCCGGCATTCGAAAACCGGGGTGCGGTCACGCCATGTCACCGGTCATTCGAAGGCCAGTGTGCGGTCATGACTAGCCACTGTTCGATCACCGCGGCCTGTTGTTGTTGATTGGTGTTTTCGGGCGCGCCGACTGCTGTGGTCATTGCAGCGTTTGCGGTTAGGGGGCAGCAATGGCCACTCATCTGCAAGCGTTGTCCAGTTTAAATGCGGTTAGCGATCACTCACCGGCGAGTGGCCAGTGTGCTGTACTTGGTATGGGTTGTGCGTCAGGGTGTAGTTTTGGGTCGCTTACCGGCGAGTGGGCGGTCAGGGTGTAGTCCTCGGTGAAGGTGAGGTACTCCTGGATGTAGGCCACCACGGCGTCTCCGCCAATCATCTCCGTCTTGGAGTCAGAACCGCTGAACCCGAACGCCACGTATTCGTCCTCCGCTGTTACCAAAGCAGGACGGATTGGTCAGGGCGCGTAGATGTGCTAAGATATCAAGCCTGACTTTCGTCAGATTTCCCGCCTGTCATGACAATCGTCATGAAAAGCTCGTCGCATCGGAAAATATTCGCCATCTGGGGTTCACAAGGCCCCGGACGAGGCTCAAGGAGATCTGCAGAGCCTCTCAATAGTTGTCAAACGTATCAAGGGCCCTGGAGAGCGGAGAGTGAAGACTCATTGAGACCCAAGTGAAGACTCATTCTGAGTACCGCAATCGTGGGTTCCCCAAGCGTAGAGGCCGCCGGGCGAGTAAGGCAACGGTATTTTGAAGCACTGAAGCGGTTCGGAAATGCATCGCTTGATGCCAGTGGGATCACATGTTATCAGCGTACTCGTCACCGCGATGTTACTTGACTATGCTTTAAAACTTTGCCGCTCACAATGCATTAAATGCTGCCGACAAGTAGGGCATGTGTTTTTCTTTAAAAATCCTTTATGATCTATTTTCTTCAAAGGAAACATATGATGTCATTATTCCGATGCTTAATTTACCTTACGCCGAATGCTTTATTAAAATCGCTCCTTGTCCATCCTTATTTTGAACGCCCGTAAAGGAACTGCCCAGAGCCAAACCTCAAACATAAATCATCGAACGACGACTTTGAGGCTTGTTGTAATGCAGCACCGTCGGAAGGCTGCAGCGGAAGCGGAGTTCCCTGCCCGAGGAGCACAGGCCGAATGATAAACCAACAGATAAATTCCATCCGTGATTCAAACTTGAGCTAGATGCGCAGGTACTGAACGTTAACACCGCGGAGACTGGCCCGATCGAGCTGTAACTGGCGGCCGGGCAGCGGTTTTGCCCGGGGTGCGGCTGCCAGAGGTGCGCCGCCGCCGCCGGTGCAGGTGCGCCGCCGCCGCCGCCGCTAGCACCCACCGATCTGCGCCGCCAGCTCCATGGTGATGGACGGACCGTGTGTGGACCAGCGGATCTGCAGGTCCTTGTGCAGCTGCTCGCAGTTCGGGAACACCGTCTTCATCGGCTGCGGGCGAAGCGATTCCATCCATCACGCTGGCATGTCGAGCGGTGTACGGTCGCGCCAGCACTCAACCAACGAGGGGACGTGTACACCAGCACGCGACAAAGCTCACATATGCTCTGTGCAGATGCTGTGACAGCTCAACCTAGCTATGCCCTGTTCACACCACGGTGCAATGGTTTTTACAATTCTTACAGCCAGGTCAGCATTATCAACTGATTATGCGATGCATACAACAGCTTCCAGCTGTTGCCATTGTGCCCGAAGGTTAATGGGGCTGTCCAAGAGCTGGCGCTCACTTCCGTGGCGCGCTAATTTGCACCAGTCCATGCAGTCGACACACGTCTGCACGTGTCGGCTCTCCCACCGTAGTGGCCAGCGGCGGACGCGCGGGCCGACGGCCACAACTCACGATTATCTCCACCAGCGACGGTGGGATGTTCAGGCCGTCCGGGATGATGGTCCAGCCGTAGCTCTGCTTCTCGTCCACATTCCACACGGCCAGCCACTTGATGTCGAAGATGGTCATCTCGCCGGGCAGCGTGACCAGTACGTCCTCCTTGTCGTAGCGGCGCAGAGGGTTGACGCTGGCGATGGGCGAGGTTCGAATGCCGGTGAGGCGTCTGACTAGGGCATTGGCAAGGGGTCAGAGCCTAACAGTAGCCACACCCGGGTCACACACTGTCCGTGGATCCGTCCAAGACACGAGCAAAGAGCTGGACTCTAACACTGGTGAGGATTTCATGTCAGTCGCTGGTAAGGAGTCGGGGCCCAATACAGGCAGCAGTCGGGGCCAGACAGTGACCAAGACGGGGTCAGGTACCGACAAGGGTCGGAGTAAGATACTGGTAAAGGTCTTGGTCAGTCAAAGACAATGATCGGGGTCAGGGGTCGTAGGCCCACAAAACACGGGAAAATGGCTCAAAAGTGGTAGTTGGTTCACACCTCGAATAAATATAATAAATAGGTCACACGAGGTATGCACATGGTACACTTAATTATACACTAACAATGAATGTTTCGCGCGGGTGGCTTCAGCATAGTATTCCGTAGACCATGCTTTTTGCGCATACCCTAAAATCGCTGTCCAAGTGCGTGAATCGTGTGCATCGATGAACTGTATGGGGCCAGATAGGGTCGCTTTCCTCCCATACTTATCGTTCGGGGAAAACGGTGCGTAGGTTCTGGGTCTGCATGCAGTTGTGGTGGATAACGAATCCCCGACTGTTCTAATAGACCCCTGGGGTCGGCAATAGACAGATATGTCGCTAGATTGCTTAGCCACCGCGCTTAACACTGTTTTTATGTCCCTCTAGCTCTGATACAAAGTAATAGAGAGCGGCATCTGTCGTCGCCTAGCGCTCAGTGACTTCTGATCACACACGGCGAGACAATTGTAAAGGTGCAGAGAACTCGAGAGCGTACATACCATCCGTATTCATCCGCGGTGCGGAGAACCGGAGAGCACACTTACTATCCGTATTCATCCGGCACCTTGACACCCTTGGAGGAGGGCTGAGGTCCGAGCCCCACCCAGAAGTACACCTCTCCTCCGGTGCCGTCGTAGCTGAAGTCTGCAAGCGGGTGTTGAGTTAGCGAGCTCCGGGGCAGCGCTGGAGGTGCCGCTGCCGTGGGCCGCGGCGGTGCGCCGGGCGGCGCGGTGGCCGGGTCTGTCATCACGGGGCTAGACCGGCAGACTGACGGTGGACATGACGCGTGACACGTGGGAAAGGGTTCTGGCGGAACACCGGTATCCGGCAGCCAACGAAGTGCACCCAGAGACTGTCATTCAGAAAGCCCACGTGTAGTGAAGTTTCTCGATTAACTCGAGAATGGAAGTCGTTATGTCTTCGAAAAAATACCACAAATGCGGGTGTCTTCTTCGATCCTTTAACATTCACCCGATGGGGCCGCCTTTACACCTTCGTCCGACGAGGGGATCTGGCAGGGTCCCGTACGAATTGTCGGCCAAGACAGATATCGCATCATCCGAAAATGAGCGTCTTACCCGCCTTCCAAGCTATGCAGATGTGCAGTTTTGAGGGCTTCAGGTTGACAGGTGATCTGCCATGTCACGATAATGACCTTAACCGAGCCAGTTCGCAAGTGGGACAAAATGGTATCGCCAGCATATGTTATTATCAACCTGAGGATAAAAAGTCTCAACGTATTCTTCGCCGCCTTTCTGCCTTCAAAATATCCGATGTTGGGGTCTGGATCAACGAATAACCTAACAGGTCGCGCAAATTTCTCCACGGCAGAAACGTCCATTCGAGTGCATGTTAAGCCGCCCCACTGCCGGTCGCTGCCATGCTGAGCAAGGAAGGGTGACGGAGAAAGACCGACGCATTGAACATTGTTTACCCTGTCCAACTTCATTCGCTTTCTTTTCTGGGCCGTGAGATCGACCTAAGCCATTAAGGTTAGGGTTAAATAGGTTATACGTGTTTTGTATCGCTGCGCAATGCAGAATTTGGCCTATAAAAATTGGATGGGCGTGTGCCAATTCTTCACACAAAATCAGTTGACAACAATTTGCTGTGTGCGTAATTGACCTATAACAGACTAAACTTGCTTATGGGGCGAAATATTTCCTCCATCTGCCATATGGCATAAAGCACTCATGTCGCAAAGACGCGATAAACGACATTCAGCGTAAGATTCGAACTGCTCCAGATGACTGATACTTGAAAACCATGGGAGGGGTCTGCGCCAGGCCAAACAACACTAAAGATTGCTACAATGGATTGTAATAATAACCAAAATGCAGGTGTTATGTAGTGAACTGCAAGGTGGAACAAACGCACTCCACAACCAGATTTACCTCTGGTGGCCTCATCCCACACTTCCAGACATAATGGCGGCTGGCATGATTACTGACCAAATCAATTCAGGTCGCTTTCATCAAGAAACGAGTAACATGTCCCGAATCCCACCAAATAAACCGCATTGTCGATTTGCCGAGATACCTATCTGACATGGCTTTCACAAGTGCGTCACGGGTTACGAATAATCGGGATAATAGCTGAAGCATGTCAGGAATGGTAACTATGGCATCGCCAGCTGCTAAAAGAAGAGCATGGCATAGCCAAGTACCAACAATTACCGACGCAAATAATCATTTAAGAAAGGGGCGAATCGCGTGCAGACAATGATGTGAGCGACGATATTTTGTTAACATTGAGCTCGATGCTTCAAGCTGCTCAGCTGTCGTGTTATTGCCTGCACGTTGCCAGCCTGTTGTGACAATAGGTGGCCGGCTTGAGGGAGCGTTGTTGGTGTTATTATTGCCTACTGTGCTATCATCAGAAGGTATCAGTAAGGTGTCACAGATTTCCAAATTTACTTAGCACTAAAGAACACAGATGAAAGCGGGCCTGAATGGTCTGTAGCACTACTCTATCAAACTGCCACGGACTACAATGCCTAAAAATAACGCACATGGTGCACTTTCAGAATGCATTCGCACGAGAAGATACATATAGAAACAGACGTACTTTTCAATTCCTTAAAGCCACCTTGAAGCCTGTTCCGGGTGTTCGGTCTCCCCCCCCCCCCCCCCCATGTTGGCTCCGATCCCGTCCAGACTCACCCTTGACCTCGATAGTCTTGGAGTCGATGATTCGGATGCGTCCCGAGTTGACGCCGTGGCCGCGCCGGCTGAGCCCTGTCAGCCACTGCGGCTGTGGCGCCTCGAACCCCTCCGGGATGTACACATCACCGAACGTGTCCTGCCGGCGGGTGCGCCTGTTACCGCCGCCTCCGGTCGGACCGCACCACACCGCACCGCACCGCACCGCACCGCACCCGCACCGCACCGCACCGCACCGCACCGCACCGCACCGCACCGCACCGCACCGCACCGCACCGGATCGGCATCGGCATCGCACCGGACTGGACCGCACCGCACCGGACTGGATCGAATCGCACCGGACCGGACTGAACCGGACTGGACCGCACCGGACCGGTGTCCGAGCGTTCGTGCGCCCCTTCCAACCACGATCGGCACATGCATGCACTGTTGGACGTGCCAACGTCCAGTCCAGGTTGATACGTGCAACCAATGGCAGGCCTTGTGTGATACCTTGGATACACGTCGAGACGTGTGCATTCCAATGCCACTGACCCGGCAATGCACACGTTTTCATCCGCTCCTCCTCCCGCTAAATACACCAGCAGTATTATGACAAGCGGTCAGGTTCCGAAAGACTCGTATTCAACAGCAGCCAATGGCATTTGAAACTTACCTGCACCGTCAGGTCGTAGATCGCGAGCCACTTGATGTCGCTCAGGCTCTTTTCCTTTGGCAATACCAGAGTGATGTCCTTGTTCAGGTACCGCTCCAAAATGTTCGTTCTGTGGCAAACAAAAAGCAAAACGTGAATGGTTGGTGAGTGACTGTTCACAGGGAGTGCATCGCCAGGAAATGAACAAGCTGTGCCAGTATTGAGATGGCAATGTGTTAATTCCAGTTATTTTTCAGCATTCTTTTCCCGTAATATGTGAGGTAAGCAGTGTGTGAAAAATCTATCAAGAACGGCTGTACACCTGCATATATTCAATGAAACCTTGGATGCCTGGGGATGCCCAATGTCACACAGCAACAACTTGAGATGACTGATTTGGGTTTATGATCGAAAATTGATCTGGCCTGTGCCATGGGTACCCGGTTGTGTACCTGTACTTCATAGTAGGACACGCCTCAACGAAATTACTGTTCGCAAATCATTAGCTGGAGCTTTACAGTTAGCATGATCAAAAAGTACCACTCCGCCAGACGTTCAAATAAAGAAGCAGGCGCAAGCAGCAGTATACAGTCTGCAAAAGTTATGCAGTCGGTACAATCAGATCACCCACTGAGGGTCTCTCACACGAAACAGCTAGCCCGTTTTACCGAGTCACTGTTTGACCAGCTGGCCAGTTAGTGAGGCCACGTACCCCCTCCGATGTACAGCGTAACGGTCAGCTACGCGGCTCGGGCACCGACCCGGGATTGGGAATTGAACGGGAACTCTGGGATCGGCGATTGGTCGCGCCGCAAGCTTGACTTCCGTCTGGAGTCCAGCATCTGACCAAGTTTTACGGAGGCGCTGAGACGGGTTTCAGCACCTACGCATGGGCCGCTTGTTTGGGTTCGGACGGGATCGTCCCCGTCTGGTGTGTTAGTAGGTACCATGTACGTCCTAACATCTCCGACATTATTCCAGCCGTGATCAAGCATCCCGCTGAGCGTCGACATGCCAAAGAGCGTACCTACTCCCAAGCTGTGCGCTTTACCGCAGTGATGCCGCTGTGATGGAGGATGTGATGCCGCTGTGAGGGGGATCCTCATAACGCACCTTCACCGTCGAGCGTTAGCGGGCGTCGCACGCAGCCCAGGTGACGGCACAGCGGGGCGGCCGCAGTGCCCACGCGACGCCTCACCGTGGGGTGGCCGCAGGCGCGACTGGGACCACCGGCAGGAGGGACAGCTTCCGCTCGGACGGCTCCGAGGGGGCGGGGCTGTGCCACCTCAGCTAGGGACGGCGCGGCAGCACAGCTGCGGTTGCACACTCACCTGCCGTGCTCGTTGGCCAGGATGAAGCCTCGCGGGCCGGGCCGGTTGTTTGAGCCCGCCCAGAAAAATGTGTCTGTACCCTCGCCATCATAGGAGAAATCCTGCAAGAGCGGCAAGCGTAGTCAGGACCAGGCAGGCCACCAGTATCGACATACGAGCCATTGGCATGCTCCAGTAGTGTGTTTCTCGACTGTTCCAATAGAAGACTTAAGACAAACGCCATGACAAATGACCAGTTTGTGTCGTGGTCCTGAGATATCCAGGTCGGCATAGTCTCGCAATGAACAAGTTATACGTTCGCATCACGGTGGCCGCTTCTCGTGCGAGCCTGGCGGGTGGACCGTCGCAGGTGTCTGGGGCGGCCGGTCGGCGGCGCGTGGCGTACTCGCCAGCTGACAGGGCCCTGCCGACGCTCCAGCTCACAGCTCTGTCCCACGTACGCGGCCGCCACATACTGCCGCTAGACGGCGCCATACGCGGCCGGTCAGCGCGCTGACCTTGATCAGGATGGTGAACTCGTCGACGGCGTACACTTCGCCCGACACCTGGTGGTGGTACGAGTTGAGTTTGCTGATGTACTTGCCGAGGTACACGTCTCCCGGCTCCTGGGCGCTGGCCACAGCCGCTGCGAGTGAGGGCGTGGGGTGAGGAGGGGCGGCCATCGCGTGTCGTCAGCCGACCTCACACGGCCGACCATCGCACCATAGAGAGCCCGCCCTTCACGCCTCGACCCGGTGCATGACGCATTCTGCGATCCTCTGCGGATAAGCTGGACGGGGGGACCGCTTTCGATGCGCTCATCGACTTCGCATTAGGTTCCAGAATAAACCCAGAGATGGCCACAATGCGAATACTACTGGAAGGTGTGGAACGGAAGCCCGACCCTGATCAACACACTGTGTAGTAAAGGTCAATTAAAAAGTGCTGAAATGGAGTGCGTCAATGGAAAATGTCCGGAGGGACAAAGACAAACGGGGATAGAAGCGAAATAGAAGAAAATGACCACCAAAGCGCAAAATGCCAGAGTACAAAGCTCCCAAATGGAAAAAGTCGATAAGCATGTCAATCATCGTGATCGAAAAGCAGCCCCCACCCCCACACCTCTGCTACCACTCTAGCATTTCAGCTGGGAGGGTGCGAGACGCTATGACCAATGCCTGATGGGCATCGCGGGTTCTCGTCCTAGAAACGGCCCAACTTTCACGGCTATCTGGCAGCTGGGTAAGAGAGTCGGACTGAGGCCAGGGCGAGCACGTTATGCGTAAGCATGACGCGGGCATGCGTCAGCAGCATATCAGGATCACACGAGGTGTTTCACGCGATGCCAGTGTTTCACGTAACCTTCGTAAAAGTGCTATGTAAGTGACAAAACCAATGAAGGCTGTACTTGAAATGTTTGCGAGGTTACGAACGTTTTCTGTAATCACAGCTGCACACCGTTTGTTTGACGGATGTAAACAGTGCTTAAGCATTACATGAACCATCACACGAGCACTGAAGGCTTTAATTAAAGCCCGACTAAATAGAGCATGGATGTTTTGTAGCCGTCTTACGTTTTGTGTTTAAAATAAATGTTTGGTATTTCGGGAGTTGTTAAGGACATTTGTAGGGGAGCATTATGCATATAAATGAGACAATGTTGGTAGCTTTATTTGCCGTAAAATAGATAGGGAATGGATAGACATGAGACATTTCAGCTACATGTTCTTATCAAAACCAATATCGTTAAATATTTCGGCAATTGATAATCCACTAATATTCGTTCCTTCAAACGCATGTGACCCAACTATCATACGCATCTCTCCATTCAACTGTTTGTTCCACGAGGAATAAGGTGGTAAAAACTGTTCCGTCTGAATGTTCAACCGTATCAACTTTCCTTACGCCTCATAGGATGCAGCTGACTTGACCAACTCCTCATAAGTCGACTGTGTAGTTCTCAGCGTTTTAAGCGTGTGATTCAGTGATCAATTGTTTGGATACATATTATCCACATAAGCATCCCAACATTCCATTGGGATGCACACATAGCTGCACAATGCCGCTTCCTGTTGTTATAGGCTAGGTGGCTCAGATGTCCGCCCCGGTGACACGGAAGATACTGGGGTTTACGTTTTAGAGGTGCCTAATTGACCCGGCAGATGCCAGGCAGCGGGAGACGAGAGGGCTGTCACGGCTATGCGACATGATCGCATGAAGGCAGTGAATGGCACGTTAGAGTTCTCTCCGAACAGGTGCGGAGCAAACTGTCAGTCCAACTGGACGAAGAGTTGGCCACAAACAGTTATATCTGCAACTCATTCGGGATAAATATAAAAAATAATACTAATGCACTTCTTCATAACACTGGCATTCGTTTTGCGGTTAACACAAGCAGCCATCCGAGACAACATCACAAGAAACTCCCTCCCAAACTTTGCTGGTGTGTGACCAACAACTTTCGCCATTTGTCGCAGTCTACTCGTGAACACAGGGCGCGAAAGCGCTACACCCTGACGAGCACATTGCATGCACCTTGCCGCAGTTTTAGCACATGGAAGCACAGTATTGAGTCCCAGCCCGTCTGGCGGCCCCCGTCCCTGAAGCAGGGAACGTTCACGAAAGGCCTCGCGCAAACTCCTGGCTTTCTGGTCGCCACTGTTGGCCGCCGCGGCTGCCGGTGTGTGCTTGGACACTCCGGCACACTCCTGGAGGCCCACCTGAATGATCGCGCGCTTGAAACAGCTGAAAAACACAAAGCCAGCCAGGAACGAGCTAGTGCAGTTAGTTTTATTCAATAAGACAGAAACACAATCAACAATGCTGGTAATTTAGTTCAACGTCGGACATAAATGGCTGCAGAACATTATTCGTGCGCCGCTCAGTCAGGCAATACTCAAGCAATATACGGTCAGGCAATACTCCACTATTCAATTGCTCCTGGTGTTTCACAAGAAGCTAACATGTGAGCTGTATCGTCAAGACATTAGTAATAATGGCGTCGAAGAATAACGTCTGTGACAGTGCAGACATTTCAAGCTATGCCTACAATTTTCAACCCAATAACGAAATAATGGCAAGTTTGCGAAGGTTACATGGCACGCCGGCATAACATGAAACGGCAAACTCTGCATTGGGTGCCTGACTACGCGAAATGTCTACGACGTACCCATGCCAATCCCAGTCTAGAAAAATTATGTCAATATTAAATGGATTCTTGATTGATTAGTTCCGTTATTGTTACCTTCCTCGTCATACAATCTCACTATTTCTAAAGAAAAATAAATCGTCAGTGTCATGCTCTCTTGACGCAGTGGATGGTTGCGGCTCTTCAGCCGTGACACATCACAAGCACTTGTCCTTAGAAGCAGCCAGACGCCGTCACCTCCTCGCATTTATCTGTAACCACATGATCTTGTACCGCATGTTCGCATAACCCGACCCAGAGACAAGAACATAAGGCTAGTTCAGGTGTGTAGGGTCCTGTTCAGCTAAGGCAGCTCAAGCTCCTTCCCCCAACCTTGGGAGAGAAGTGGGTGAAATTCACGGAGACTACGTTTTTGGTGTATTTTGGTGATGTGCTTCTCGATTTCTCCCCACTCAGCACCCTTTCCCAATTTATTTTTCGAAACTCTGTCGCCGGCCTTGTTATCTACAAGAAACTGAGCAAGCTGAAAGCACAAGCACTCAGGTGGGGCGGCTGACCCATATAACGGTTAATGTCATGACTGGACGGCGTGCCAAGGTCATCAACAGGAGCGGCGGATGCGCTGGTGAGCTGGAGGGGGGCAAAGACAGTCCTTGCCTCGCCTTTTCCATGCAGCGTGCCATGAAGCTAGCTTCAAACTATGCCGATGGTGGGATGACGGCTACCGTCTGCGTCTCCTAATCCTCCGTGCCTGGTCACCAGACCGCGAAGGCAACGCGCCATGTTGGCATTGGCCGGAGCGGATACCTCGCCCTTCAGAGCTCTGGGACGCCCCGGCGCCTGGACTAGTTTCGCCTGTCGCCGCCCTGCGCCCAACAGGTACCAGGCGGCGCCACGCCGACCCGCGGGTCACCCGTGGTGCGGCACGCTTACCCAGTCCGAGCAGCAGGCTGATGGATACGGTGGCTAGACTAGTCATAGCAGACTGGCACAGCACACCCACACATGCACGTGCTCAAGCCGTTATCACATACACAGGGCGCAGCCGAGGCTGGCTCGGCACCAGCTGTTCGGGAGCGGCGCGCGGCGGCGGCAGTGACCAAGTGAAAACGGCACGGCCTTTCCTGCTCACCTTCTAGTTACGCTCCAGGCGATATCGATGACAGCGCCATCTCACCGGGAAAATGCAAAACACTAGTTCAGATTTTATCTAACAGGGGTGACAAGAGGACGGGTTTATCGTTTATCACTCCAACTAAAACGGGAGGATGGACTTCGTGAGGAGCGCGGGGAAACGGCCCCAAACAGTGAGCGGGCCAAATCTTTAAGAATTTTTTTAACGCATCATCATGGAGCCGATGCTTGCCTGTCAGGAAAATGGGAGAGCCAAAATCCGCGTGCCCTTGTTGCTATGCATGCCCATAATGCATGCTCATAATGCATCTCTACGCATGCTCTAAGTTAGGTGGCTATGAAGGGACAACGAAGAAAAACACTTCAGAAATAACATTTGAGCTTAGTTTACTCCTGTAGAGACGACCCATCTTCTCTTTCAGGTTGTTGGGGGTTACTTTCCTAGCCGAATAGGCGTGCACCTCTCCCATGGCTCTAACATTCTTAATTCAGGATGGTGCATGATTTATTAAACGAGAGACGGGACCTACGTTGACCAGTTGTATTGAACAAAATAGCCAGGAGTTTTGATCGGGCTCAAATACTAAATGCTGAATTCGGCTTCGGCCAGCACCATGATGGTGTCATGGTTTGCTGTGTCGGTGAAGGTCATTTCTAACATGCAACCTGCATGATTCACTGTCGGGCAGCGAATCATTGCGTGGCTTCTCCCAACCGGGTGGTAGCATGCTAGATGACGCGTTCGCATTCTTCAGACAGTGACGGACCCGCATAGCGGATGACAAAGACAGGGGGACACGGGACCATGCCCCCCTTCCCCGCTCCTCCGCCCATCACTTTGGCCTCCGGCGGCACCCATAACCGACCGAAAAGACGCAGCTTTTAACACAAAATGCAACCAGGTACGTCTTTGGGCCTCCAAGTCACCTAGAAGAGCCGCAAGTGAGAATGACGGGCCCATAAGCACACAACATGGATTTAGAGGGTGGCGGCTGGAGACATTTTTGGGCCATCACCGTGCCCAGGGCTCTAGGCTTTTGCCGGGTCCCTATATGTCTACTCGGCGGGGCACCCTGGTCGCTAAGTAGTCTTCCAAGTTGCTCTTGATTTGTTCTCATTTGCGCTAAGGACCACACGCCGCTGTTGGGGCTCTAAATGTTAACCTTGCAGGCCACTCGTGATGGGCCAGGGACTTCCTGCAGATTCTTGCAGTTCGCCTAAAAGGCTCCATACATTATTGCCGCGGGCCAATATTTTAACCTGCTGGGGGGGGGGGGGGGGGAGGAAAAGGACTTCACGGGTGGGTTTTCGTTTACCCCAATCCACCCACTTCTCATGACGCTCTACCGACACCCACCCACTTCTCATGACTCTCTACCGACACCCACCTGCTACTGATGACACTCTACCGATACCCACCCACTTCTCATGACGCTCTACCGACCACCCACCCGTTACTCATGGACGCTCTACCGACACCCACCCGCAACTCATGACAGTCTATCGATCCCCCCCCCCCCCGCTACCAACCCTCTGCCCATTCTTAATCCGTTATATCGACCGTCCCCACCGGTTCGCAATTTTTGAGCACTATAATTCCAATTTATTGATGAGCCTTAGTAAAATTTACAACCAAAACTTTACTTTGTATCCACTCACAGTTGCAGAAAATGGGAGTAATTGTGACTAAAGACAGCACAAGCAGTAGCATTTGTGTAGTATTTCGTGAAGCATTTACCATATATTTCATAAATCTCCTACCAATACCCATACTCGCACCCGCAGTTTTCCCGAAATCTGAACCCAGCCCAACCTGTTGCCCACGCTGTATGAGCGTCCATGGGCTACCAAAAGCCGTGGAGTCCTCTAGCTCAGAGACTCTTCACTCTGCTTTCGGATCCTTTTCCACTTGCCCGAAGGGCATGTTGCCAGGGCCTTAGTTAGTTAACCTGCCGAGGCGCCCGATGTCCAGGGGCTCTCTGCGATAGTCTAGGGCTTCTTTGCATTTGCTCTGGTGCCCAGAGGATCCTACAACCCTGTAGAAGCCCTTCCTGTTAATTTCCTCTGGCCCTCTTAGGGCCCGCCACAACGGTCCTGGGCGCTTTATGAGGCCAGACAAATCTAACTTTGCTGCCCAAAATCCCGCATGCGCTTGCGAGTGCCAGCATTTTTTGTGACCCACGGTTGTTTCGGTTGGGAGCCTGGCTAAATTAATTCATATCTGTACTCTATGTCTACACGACGATGATTTCTCTGGCCCCTTAACCGGAGAGAGCAATATGCTCCAATGAATTCTGTTAGCGCAATTGCCTAAGATAGTTTTACGCGCCGGCAACGCTGCATGCCTTATTTCTCATGGCTGCTGCATTTAAGACACTCGTTGTACTTACGCATCACATTCTAGCCCAGTATGGATGCTAACACTTTCTTGATCCTGCAGATAGTCAAAACAAAAACTCTGCATTCAAGACACTGGCCTTCAGGTAATGCCAACATTGTATACCTGGTCACACGCTGGAAACCGGCTAGCTGTAATCTACCTTGGAATCAAGTGTCGTGCTTAATTCAAATGGCATTTAGCAGCCAACTTTTGCTCATTCAGTGGTATCTTGTCTGAAATGTCTCCCTCAAAATGGCAGGATGCACCATGATCTGACAAAATGAGCACACTCCATGTATATGCATACTTATTCGCCTAGTTTTCTAGGGCTGCGCACAGAAAGTATAGGCCAGCCTCGAAGTGAGAAAAGGCGTTCGTATCACCATGATTAGGCCCCTTTGACTAACAAGTCCCCCCGGAGAATGATACAAGCAATCATGGATTCCAGCTCTGTTTGGGTTCCGAACAAGTCTGGTGATATCAATCTTACAACTTGCCTGACCTGACGCAGCAGCCCTTTTCTCTGTCCATCTCGCTCGTCTCACGCCAGAACGCCGACTCCTGTATTATTGCATCTTAATGTTTGGCTGTCCAGGCTGTCAGACATTAAGGATCTGTAAAGCGTGAATGCTAGAGTATTGTGCATTTTGGCGTGCTTGCCGCCTATGAAAGACGGCAATGACCAAAACATATTTATGTGAGCCACGAAGAGGTTTAGCCATATCTAGCTTACGTATGGAGTACTCTGTTGTGACAGCAATAATCTCTGTTACCATTGCTGCTATTTCACTCCACGCGTGATGACCACGTAACTAAACAGCTCATCGCTACTTCTGGCTAACTTGGTGCACCCCCTGAGCCACTGGCCCGGTTCTGGCCTGTCATTGGTGCACTACCTTGAGCCACTGGCCCGGTTCTGGCCTGTCATTGGGAGATTTCTCGGCGCGGCACAGTTGGACCAGGAAGCCGGACGGCACCCCGGAGTGACACGCGTGGCTGGGTTGCTTGAACCCGCCCCCGACCACGTCACACCGGTCTCAGTCGTCTGGTGCGAGGTCAACACGCCCCCTGCTCGTGCCGATGGCTCCAGAGCTGGTGGCTGGTCAGAGTCCTCGCCGGCCGCCGGCCAGCCCGTTCGCAGGGGCTGATGTGATGACTGGCGTGACCGTCTGTCTGCGTCAGACTGTACCTGGTTAAAATATATCAGCGCTGCCATTTTGCATAGCAAAAAGAGAACAACTGTTCTGAAATATAGACTTGTTACCTGTGTTTATCGTGTCAGATGTGGCTATAGCACTTGCAACATGCGTGCCTTATCAACAAGGATGCTAAAATTATGTGGGAGCCGTAACGCGTGTTGCCTATGGCTGGATGACTGGCCACACGCATAGTTACTTGCGTGATGGCTATGGCTGGATGACTGGCCACACGCATAGCTGCTTGTGTGATGGCCATGGCTGGGTGACCGACAAGACACCATGGCTGCATGTGTCACGATTTCGAAGATTCCGGCAGCTTTTGTCGTAGCCTCATCTTTTTTCGTGGCGCTTGGGTGATGCCTGATGTAGATGTGGTTGCAGAGGGAACAGCGCTCCAAGGCGCAAAACGTTGGCAGCTGTGGAAACATGGCCACCAAGTAAGGCAAGACGTTCATCGCTTACCTAGCCGAGCAAAAAGCACCTTGATGTGGTTATACTGACAGACTTAACGCTTTTGTAACACTTTGCATATAAATATTCAGCTAATAAAGTCTGAAACAACTGCAATGAAATGTGCGACACTCGAGAAGGGATGGACATATGTCAGTGGTGTGTATGTATCCGTGAGTAACATAAAAAGCCTGGGGTATTTGAACATTCTTGCGCGCTGTCGGACGGAGACATGCAGTGCCTTCTAAATGTATGAGCGTAATCTTGCGTAATCAGCATAAATGTATAACGCTGACGAACAGAATGCCTACGCCTGCGCGTGATGACAGACACGAAAACCGCCGATATAAGCGCGGATGGCATTCTTCACACCGAACCAGTGCGGTCCTGGCTATTATTGATTCTTCTGTCAAAAAATTTGTCGGAGGGGACCACGATATCACGCCGAAGACTCTCGAGTGCAACGAAGTGTTGTCCCACAGGGAGCATATTCTGATCGCTATGCTGACCGACAATTAGCGGGAAGAGCGCGTGCTGGTGATGGAGCAGATCAGAGCATGCTGAGCCAGACGATAGCGGGGCCAAACACCAGAGGACATGAGGTAACCTAACAGAAAGGTACAACTCACTGACCCCTGGCTATGAAAATATCAGATGATGACATTGCCATCACTGTGGAAGTCCCTCTTACCTTCGGCGATTTTTCTTTCACTTGCAAGGGCTCGAACGATGGATGAGGCGACTGACGGAGGCGGTGGAGAAAAAGGGGGTGCCCTCTAGGCGACATGTACTGATGCTAGCTTAAGCGAACTTTATTGCAGGAACAACAACTAGGCCTTTTATAACTGAATTGTAGGCAGTGAGATGAACTAGCCAGTGCTGTTTTAATTTAGTTCAAGCCTTTCCATTGGAAGGACTTTCAGTGAT